AGATCTATTTGTTCTTTTGGCAGCCCATGGTACTTTCAATATTCTCCTTCAACACTTTATAAAGGTCTTATAAAGATTTGCCTAATGCAATACGTCACTTGATTCATTAACAACCTACAATATGTAGATAATACAACCTTGCTTGCTGAAAGCCAAGAGAACTTAAAATTCTTACTGATGAAGATCAAAGACCACAGCCTTCAGTATGGGTTGCACCTCAATGTAAAGAAAACAAAACTCCTCACCACTAGACCAATAAATAACATTCACATAAATGGAGAAAAAAAAGACTGTTGTTGATAAGTTTTCTTCCAATCCTGATGCCATGTTCTTCATAGAATCCATCTTCTCAGATGATTTGTTCAACATACAGCTTCAATAAGTATGGTGAAAGGATGCAATCCTGAAGCACATCTTTCCTTAAACCATTTAATGTCCCTTTGTTCTGCTGCAACAATCGACTCATATATAGGCTCCTCATGAGCACAGTTAAGTGTTCTGGAATTTTCATTGGTCTCAGTGTTATTCAATGCTACCATTCACACAGTTAATTGCCTTTGCACAGTCAATAAGATACAAACATTTTTTTTTTCTTGTATTGTTTACTTTCATCCAAGATCCATCTGACAGCAATGATATCCTTTGTCCCATGTCCTCTTCTGAATCCAGCTTGTTTCTGACAGGTCCCTGTTGATGTACTGCTGCAACCATTTTTAAATGATCTTCAGCAAAATTTTACTTGCATGTGATATTCATGATATTGTTCAATGATTTCAACATTTGATTGGGTCATCTTTCTTTTGTTGGCCAGGTAGTTGCCTTCCAATTTTTTTTGATATATAAGAGTGAGCACCTACAGCACTGCAAGTTTGCTGAAATATTTCAATTTGTATGCCATCAATTCCTAGAGCCTCATTTCTCACCAGTGTCTTCAGTGCAGTTTCAACAGAGAACCTGAAGGAACTTCAATACCATTGGTTCTTGATCACATTGGACCTCTTGAGATGGTTGAACACACCAGTTCTTTTTGGAGTGGTGACTTTTTGTATTCCTTCAATCTTTTTCTGATGCTTGTAGCATCATTATATCTTTTGCTCATAAAATCCATCAGTATTGGGTGTTGAGGCTTGATATTTTTCTTTGGTTCTTTCAGCTTGAGAAATGCTGAGCATGTTCTTCCCTTTTGGTTTTCTAACTCCTGGGCATTTGCACATTTCCTTATGATACATTGCCTTCTTCGTGAGCTGCCCTTTTCTGTTCAGCTATTTTACTTCACCATTTCTAGTCACATTAGCTTCTCTATGCTCAAGAATTTGAGTTGAAGTTTCAGAGTTTCTTCTGACATCCACTTTGGTCTTTTTTTAATGTTCATCTTTTAATGACCTTTTGCTTTCTTTATGTACATACAGTATTCTTGATGTCATCCACCACTCTTCTGTTTTTTGGTCATTAGTGTCAAGTCTGTTCTTGATGGTCTCTAAATTCAGATGGGATACACACAAGGTCACATTTAGGTTTTTGTGGATTTAATTTTCTTCAGCTGCAACTTGCACATGAGCAATCGGTGGTCTATTCTATTGGTTTCTGGCCTTGTTTTTGCTGATATTGAGCTTCTCCGTATCTTTCTACAGATATAGTCAATTTGACTCTTATGTATTCCATCTGGGAAGGTCCACATGTGTAGTTGTTGTTTGTGTTGTAGATAAAAGGTATTTGCAATGAAGAAATTGTTGACCTTGAAAAATTCTATCATGTCATCTCCAGCATCACTTCTATCCCCAAGGCCGTATTTTTCAACTACCAATCCTTCATTTCCAACTTTTGCATTCTAATCACCAGCAATCATCAATGTATCTTGACTGCATGTTTGATCAACTTCAGATTGAAGATGTTGGTAGAATTCTTCAGTTTCTACATTGTTTGATTTGGTGACTTGGGTGCATAAATTTGAATAACAGTCATATTAATTGGTCTTTCTTATAAGCATATGGATATTACCCTATAAGACAGCATTGTACTTTTAGATAGAGAAATCCTGTTTTTGACGATGACTATGATACTGTTCCTCTTCAATTTGTCATTCCTGCCTTAGTAAACCATACAATTGTCTCATTTACAATGGTGAATGCCAGTTCATTTCAACTCACTTAATTCTGAGGATATTGATCTTTATGCTTTCCATTTCATTTTTGATGACTTTCAACTTTCTTAGATTTACATTTTGTACATTCCAAGTTCTGATTATTAATGGGCATTTGCAGCAGTTACTTCTCATTTTGAAGTTGTGTCCCAACAGCAAATGAAAATGCTGAAAGTTTTGCTTCATCTACATTATAAAGTTCAGCTCTTTGAGGGAGTTTTTCCTCAGTTGTATTTTGTATGCCTTCCAACCTGAGGGGCTTTCTCTTCTGATACTATATAAAACATGTTCCACTTGTATTCACAATGTTTTTAGTGTCTAACTCTTCAGAAGTGTCTCACCTCTCCTTCTTATTCTTAGTTTGGAAACTCCACTAAAACCTGTCCACCATGGATGACCCTACTGGTATTTAAAATACTGGTGGCATAGCCTCCAGCATCACAGCAGCATTCAAGCCACCACAGTAAGACTGATAGAACAATGGTGGCCATGGACTGTCATTCAGCTATAAAATGGAATGATGGTCTAAAAAAATACAAGGACAGATCTTGCAGACATTATGCTACATGAAATACTATAAGAATATATGGGGTATATTGGCTCTGTATGATAAGCACTAGATTGTGAACCACAAAGTTGGTTAGTTTGAGCCCACCAGCCGTTCTGTGGGAGAAAGATGAGACTTTCTGCTCCTGCAAAGATGTACAACTCAGAAACCCTATACAGCATTGCTATGAGTCAGAACTGACTCAATGGCACCTAACAACATATATATGGACATGTAACACACCCATCTAAATAGTGCTCCCACAAATATAACATATAGGAATTATGATATTAAATAAAATAGTTCTGGAATCGTATGCCCATTCATATACTGAGTATATCTCATTTCCAGAAGTCAATTTCATCCTCATTCACCCATTCTACCATATTACAAGTAAATCATAGCACAGTCTTCATTTTTCTTAAATCTCCTGCTTAGGTGTATGAAAGTCCCAAAATGTTACTTTTGATAATAATTGTTTAATAAAAGTCTAAGTCATGGTCAAGAAGTCATAGGTCAAGTTAGTTTCCTGGTTTTATTGGAAAATAAAAAATTTCAGACTATGCTTAAGTTGATAATTATAGTGCATTAGCTCAAGTTGAATGTGCAAACATCAGATCATCCCAAGTGAAACCTTTAGCTTGTTTTAGGTCTGCCTAGCTGGTGTGGCACTGAAGGATAGGCACTGGATTGCTAACCACAGGTTGACTGTTCAAACCCAACAATTGCTTCTTGGAAACTTTATACAGAGTTGCTATGAATCAGAACTGACTTGATGGCACTTAACAATTGCATAGTTATGTGTTAGTGTCAATTTAAGTCAGCAACATGTAAAAACATTCTTGCATGTAACACTAAGGAAAGTAATGTATGGCGGAGCAGGGTTGGCAAAAAACGGTATGATTCTACTTATACTGAGATATAAATAAAAAGTCTAGTGGGAGGAAATAAATGATACCCAATAAATTTTTGTCCTTTTTTCTCAAACTCTGGAGAGGAGAGAGAATATAGGATAGACAATTTTACAAAAATAAATGTACTTCAAATTCAGTATAGCCTTTATTTATGAAGTTTTGATGAAAGTAATGGTATAGCCTTTGGAAAGCAATCACATCAAACCCTGGGCAGGAATATGGAGAATGAGAAACCACTACCTAATTAATGTTTACTGTAAACAGTTTGTCATATAAATGTTCTTTACACTTTCAAAAGTATGTAGATCCTGGCATTAACATTGTTGGGAAAAAATATTTTCCATTTTGTAATATGTAGTGTCTTCTTATATCAAGATTAACATTCATTTTTCAGTCCACACTGTCACAAACAATAAATTTATTTATGCTGTATGCATGAGGACTAAACTTGACAAAACCAGCTGGGCAAAGACAGAACCTAATCACAAGAGGGCACTGCCAGATACTGCATTTTGTAGTAATGATTGGTTTCTACATTTCAACTTCTGTGTTGCTGACTTCACTTTATTAAGGCTGCTTTCAGATTTACTGTTCTCAACATAAATTTGTCTAAACTTTGAGAAATGAAAATACAATTTTCAAATATTATATACATTTATTCCAATTTTCTAACAAATACTGAACCTAAGTGTAGTGGGTACGTAGTTGGTTGCTAACTAGATGGTGAGTGCCTCCCACCCACCAGCTGCACCATGGGAAACAGACATGGTGATCTGTTTGGCAAAGATTTACAGCCTTGGGAACCTTACAGTGTAATTCTACCCTGTGCCATGGGGATGTTGTGAGTCAGAACTAATGGTAATGGATTTGTTTGTTTGTTTACTTAAGTTCTGCTGCTGCTGTGTGCTGTGGAGTCGGTTCCGACTCATAGTGACCCTGTATAGGGTTTCCGAGGCTGTAAATCTTTACAGGAGCAAAAAGCCTCATCTTTCTCCTGTGGAACAGCTGGTAGTTTTGAACTGCTGACCTTGGGTTCGCAGCCCAATTCGTAACCACTACGCTACCAGAGCTCCTTTTACTAAGTTCTAGGTAGTAGTAAAACTGTGTAGATTCACCAGTGAACAACATGTCTACATTCTAGTGAACGTTAATTTTGGTATTCCTGTCATTATACTTTTATAAAAGGACTGAAAACGCTTGTCCTTTCTAAGTCGTCTCTCTTGAGTAATACTGGATAAAGATCAAGGTTATGACTTAAGTCTTTATTGCACCACTTACAAAAGTACTCTGCTGTGAGGTCGTCTGACAAATATATTAAACTCTGGTTGAAATATTCACTTATATGAAAGAAATGATTCTCTTGGATGAAACCCTCTAACTGGAGGAATCCAAGGCACACTTAGGTCTTTTCAAAATCGTTTTGTAGAGAGCTTCTCCCCTGTGTGGACTCTCTGATGTTCTTACTGCTCTGACCACATTTAGATAATTGTTCACTAGCATGAGTTCTGTGATGAATGGTGAGATCTGATCTCCAGCTGAAGCTCTTACCACATATCTCACACTGGTACGGTTTCTCCCCTGTGTGGACTCTCTTGTGAGACTGTAATTGTGAAGATCGACTAAAGACTTTACCACACACATCACATCTGTATGGTTTCTCTCCAGTGTGGACACTCTGATGAAGTTGGAGACTTGAGGCCTGACTGAAGTACTTCCCACATTCCCCACACTTGTAGGGTTTCTCTCCTGTGTGGACCCTTTGGTGCATGTCAAGGTTCAAACTCCACTTGAAGCCCTTCCCACACTTCTCACATGTGTATGGCTTTTCTTCCATATGGACTCTCTGATGGGCTTGAAGGTGTGAACTCCGACCAAAGCTCTTCCCGCACTCTTCACATTTAAATGGTTTTTCTCCACTGTGGACTCTCTGGTGGGCCAAAAGATTTGAGGCCTGCCTGAAGACTTTCCCACATTCCTCACAATGATATGGTTTCTCGCCTGTGTGGATCCTACAATGAATTTTAAGATCTGCTCTACGACTAAAGCCCTTTCCACAGTCTTCACATTTATATGGTTTCTCACCAGTATGGATCAGCTGGTGAACTTGAAGTTTTGAACTATTATTGAAGCCTTGCCCACACGCCTCACACTTAAATGGTTTTCTGGCACTATGAGCTTTCTGATGAATCTGAAGGTATGAACTCTGACTGAAGCCTTTCCCACACACCTCACATTTATAGGGTTTTTCTCCTGTGTGGACTACCAAATGAACTTGGTAATGAGAGTTCCTCCTGAAATTCTTCCCACACTGCTCACATTTATATGGTTTCTCTCCAGTGTGGACTCTCTGGTGGGCTTGAAGATTTGAACTCAGAGTGAAGCCTTTACCACACACATTACATATGTATGATTTCTCTCCTGTGTGAACTCCTTGGTGGGCCTGAAGACTTGAAGGCCGACTGAAGCCTTTACCACAGTCCTCACATTTATAGGGTTTTTCTCCTGTATGGACCCTCAGGTGAATATAAAGATTTGAGCTACAAATAAAACCCTTCCCACACTCTTCACATTTGTATGGTTTCTCTCCTGTGTGGACTCTGTGGTGAGATTGAAGATGTGAATTCCGACTGAAGCTCTTGCCACATGCATCACATTTGAATGGTTTCTCTCCTGTGTGAACTCGCTGATGACCCTGAAGATGAGAGGGCTGACTGAAAGTCCTCCCGCACTCCTCACAGTGGTAAGGTTTCTCTCCTGTGTGGATCTGGCCATGAACAGTAAGTGCTGATTTGCGACTGAAGCCCTTCCCACATTCCTCATATCTGTGAGGTTTCTCTACCATCTGGACTATCTGATGAGCTTGCTGGTGTGAGCCCTGATTGAAACCCTTATCACAGTCATTACACTTATGACACTGCTGTCCCACGTGAACTCTCTGATGAATATGAAGAACTGAGTCATAACGAAGACCTTTTCCACACTCCCTACATGTATGAGATTTCTCTCCGAAGTGGAATGGCTGATGAAGATCAGAGCTGGAGAGATCATCCAATGTTTCTTGATACTTGATACAATGGCAGGTTTTCTGTTCTGCGTGAATTATACTTTGCGGATCAAATGTTGAGACACTCACTCTGTATTTTCTGTTAGCATTGTGGCTATAAGTTATTTCACTGTTGTGTACTCCAAGATCATGGTGATGTGAAACTGAACTGTGGCTGTCAACCCCCTGCTTAGAATGACACAATTTCTTTTTCATGGAAATTTGCTGATTTTTACTCTGGTAATTTGATGACCCAGTCAGATAAGTTTTCTTCCAAGAATCTTGAGCTCTCAACGTGGAAACATTTGGATTTTGAATATCACTGGGGCCATCCCCTTCATAAATCCGTATATAGTTCTTATCTTGAGAAACTGGAATAGATAGTGCTGCCCCAAACTGGCAGAGAGAATCATCTCTTTTGTGGATCTGAGAACTACTTATCATAAAGTCTTGACACCTAGATAAATCACTTGCAATTTGTTGCCAAATTTGCCAGCAGGTATGCTCTTCATGTGCTCCTCCAACTTGAACAGAACCTAACTCCTTTTGACTCGTTTCTCCTGTAAAAACAAAGAATTCAGAGATGTGGACACGTGAAAGCTTTATTCCGAGATGTCAAGGTTTTCTACTTAGAACACAGCATGGTTCAACTTATCTTTTTCTCACACATGATGTTTATATATCAACAGAAACCAAGAGGTGGTTTAAGCTCTAAGCCACTAAACATGAATGAAAACTAGCCAGAAACACATTACTCCCAGCTGAATACGATCTAAATCTTTTTTTTTTAATTATTTGTTTTTTCCACCACAAAGCGGTGTCACTGAGAACAACCATTTTGTTGTGTTCACAGCTTTGTTAGCTGCAGTCCAGACAGTCCAGCCTGGAAGTAAGGACAGGAGGTGCTTAATAAATGCCTGCACAGATGTGTCCCACCTTGACTTTGGGGTCCTCCATGCTGCTGAATCCCAGTTTAAATTTGAGCTAAGTCACAGGAGCAAAAGACCTTTTATACGTAAGTTATCTGAAATAGGAAATAACAAAACTACAGTTTTGTTTAGAAATTGAAAGGCTGTAACTTTCAGATGGAATCAGCCCAGGGGGTGTATGCTGAGGAGAAAGTCACAGTTGGAAAGAATCATGTGGAATCAAAGGGAAACACAAAGACTTGTGCACTGGTTCCTTCTGAGGCTGGTGGTGCTGTGGGATCAGCATTGGACTGGTTAACCACAAAGTTCACAGTTCAAAGCCATCAGCTGCTCTCTGGGAGGATGAGGGGGTTCTTTGTTCCTGTAAAGATTTACAGCCTCAGAAACCCTATACAGGGCTGCTCTAAGTCGGAATTGGCTCGATGGCAGTGGGTTTGGTTTTTGTCTGTTTGGTAACTTTCCCATGTCATCACTTTCCCATGTAAGAGTCAACATTCAGAGGCTAAGTAAGAATGCCATCTTCCCTGGTAGAACAGGCTGTAGGAAGGAAAGCTAAGACAGGACAATTACTATAAAGGATATTACAATAATCCAGGAAGGAAGTTTACCAATTTAGTCCAGGGGATAGCAATAAGGGGGTGAGGGGCTAGAAACAAGCAAATAATGTTAACTGTGGCTGATTGACAAGTGCTTACCTTAATCTCACTCTCTTAGAACTGTTTTCTTCATCATCCAAAGTTCTCATGCCTCTCAAACAATTAATTGACCAGAATTTTTGCTGCAGTAGTTTCTTTCCTAAGGAGTTCTGATATTTTCCATTCTATTTTATTTCACTAAAACTTGCAAGGAAGACTCAATAAATGGTTTTAAAATTCACTAATGGGTCAGGAGTGAAATTTGAACAAGTGTAGACAAGATGCAACAGTATACTGTCTGTTTATAGTTTGTTTATGAAAAAAAAAAATGACAAAGAGCAGACAAAGACTAGAAACATCCTGTCTCTGTGTACCAAGGGGGTTAGGAAAGACAGGTTCCCAAACTAAAGGAACCATTCTAAGAACCTTAAAAACTTGAAGACACAAAAGACCCTCCAGATGGCACTTGTCCTCACCCACTGAGATCAGGTTTTTGAAATTTTCTACCATCACATCTCGGTACAGCATCCTCTGGGTCGGGTCCAGGAGTCCCAGCTCCTCCTCAGTGAAGGCCACAGCCACGTCCTTGAATGTTACAACTTCCTACAACAAACACACACAACCTCAATGTCACTAGTAGAGGGGCAGCAATGAGAAGGTGGAGGAGATGGGTGGGAAGATGCTCTGGGTTCTCAGTCAGCAGTCAATTTGTAGCCTTATATATCTGCTAGGTACCCTCTGTAAAAATTCTTTAGACCCCAGACACAACACAGTGAACTAGGAGGTAGATCAGGCATTAAACATCACATTAGGACAACTGACTTCAGTATCCCATGAAGCTGTGTAACATTCATTTTTTGCTACAGTAGATTCCCATCAAATTCATACAGTTTGTTTTTTAACTTTTTATGTAAACTGAGTGAAGGTTTACAGAGCAGATCATTAGTTTTACGTTCAGCCAGTCATGCACTTCATTCCATCTCAATGACTGATTCCCTCCACGTAATACCAGAGCCCTCTTCCTGTCTTTCCTGTTTCCAATGTGACCGTCTTACCCAACCTTTCTGAATTTTATCCTTAGGTAAATGCTGACTCTTTGATCTTGATTGGTTGACCAATTGTGTGCCTACCTCATTGGTATTGTTTTCCCTCCTGTAACTCATCTATTGCGTGGCTGAAAGTCGAGGCACAGGAGTTCAGTTCCAGAGCTGAAGGGTGGTCAAGGGCCATAGCCTCAGGGTTCCCCCAGTTTCTATCTGACCAGTATATACCTAGTTTTTAAATTGTATTCATATAAATTTCAAGATCTCATTGTTGTTGTTTTACAAACGTAACCATGATAGTTTACCAATGCATAACCTTCTGAAAAACTCAAGTTTGAAAAAAATACTATCCTGTTTTGTCCATAACATACTAGGGAGTTTAAATAGATAAGGTATGTTTTTATATGTGGTACCTGGGCTGTTTTGTTAATAGACTATTCAAATAGGTCAGAATTCATCAGGTTATCTAACTGCTGCTTCATACAGAAGAAAACTATTGTTAGATGTTTTCACACTCAAAGATTTAGATTCAGTCTATTCCATGTCTGAGTCATACCTTGTGTGTTATGTTTTTTTTTCTTTTGTGTACATGTATGCATTTTTTAAATCAAAATCATCCATGACTTTAAAGATACAATTCAGAAGCTCTGGGAAAGAAGGACGAATTGGAAACGGGAAGGACAGGAAGTGTAGGTGACGTTACATGGAGGGAACTGCAGTAACTGAGATGGAATGAAGTGGATGACTGGTTGAATGTAATCTACTCTGTTAACCTTCACTCAATTTACAATAAAAAGTTTAAAAACAAACAAACCTAGGTATATGAATTCGAAGGCAATCTACTGTAGCAAAAAAGGAATGTTACACAGTTTCATGGGACATTAATGTTAATTGTCCTAATCTTACATTTAGTACCTCTGCTTGACCCCCTAGCTCATGGTATAGTGCCTAGGGCCAAAAGCTTGCAAGCAGCCATCCAGTGTACAACACCACCTGGTCTCTTATCTGGAGCACCAGAGGAAGGATCATCAGGAAGAGGAGGAGGAAATGCAGTGTGAGATTGGTTGCTTTCATGAGCAACTGCCACCTATGCCATGTGACCAGAAATGGATGGTGTCTGTCTATCATGACTGATGAGTTGGATCAAAGATTCTATGGAAGAATTCTAATCAAAAGAGGGTAAATGCAGAATAGAATTGCAAATTCTCACCGACTCCACTTTCTGAAGCCATGAAGGTAGGAAGAACATCTGAAGCTACTGCCCTGAAATAATCTCTAAATGTTTAACCAAAAATATCCCCTGAAATCTTATAACCAAATAATAGCCTAACTGGTGAAGAGTGTCTGCCTTCAGCAATGTGCCCTTTTACGATCTATGTATACAGGATCAAGTTGCCAAAAGCAACTCAAAAGATCAGATGGAAAATCTAGGCAATGGTGAGTTTACTTAATGGGGAGAAACAGCCAAGAGAAAGAGGGTGAGAATGGTTATACAACTTGAAAAATGCCATCAATGTCAGGAAATTGTAATGGTCTCCTGTGTCTATTCTAATTACAACAAAACAAATTCTTACAAAAATGAATGTTACAGTAGTAACTGAGAAAGCATAGCTTAAAATTGTATGTATATTATGAATACTGTCGAGTCAGCTTGACTCATGTATAGGGTTTCCAAAGAGCAGCTGGTGGGTTTGAACTGCCGACCATTTGGTTCACAGTCTAGTGCTGTTCCTCCAGCGCCACACCGGGAGTCTATATTATAAATACAGAAATATAAACAAGGATACAGATGATGAAGCAATGATGAAATACATAAGACACTAATTAGTAATCAGGGAAGTAGTAAAATAGAAGAGTTTTTCAACTCTTATTTGTGATATCAAACATGATGAAATAAAACAAAAACTAAAAACCAAGTGAAACTTCAGTAGAAAAAAAACAAGCGTCCAGTACACCCAACAGGTCCTCAAATACCCTGACTCTCCTTAATTTTTCTGAACAAAGAATGTGCTCAATCTCCAAGAACTAAAATGGCATTTTTATAGCAAGAAAAACACTCCCTACTCACCTTCAATGTAGTCATTTTTGTCTCTTCCTTCAAGGAAGCACAGAGTCCTAGGAGGCATAACTAGGGAAGGAAAAAGAAATCAATGGAAATCAATCAAGTATGCCACTAACCCATGTGGCTGCTCCTTGGGAATTAGCAAAGAGGTCCCTTGGTTGGGTGTCAGCATCTGCATATGGCTTGATGAGAAAGCATGGCAGATATGGTTGTTGTTAAGAGCTGATAAATCGGTGCCGACTCATAGTGACTCATAGGGTTTCAAAGGAGCAGCTAGAGAATTTGAACTGCTGATCTGTGGTTCAATCTGACCTTTCAGTTCAGTGATTATCCTACAGAGCTCCCCCAAGACTCCATGACATGAAGAAGACACCTTTTACCCCTTTCAATATTGCTTCAGTGAGCAATGTGCTCAAAAACGCACAGTGCCCTCATCGCCAGTGCACTTTCTAGCTCCTAGGCAGCAATTCTTATTCTGGGCATGGTATAAATTGGGACAATGTATTTAAGAGTAGGCTCTGGAGCCAAAATGTGTGTGTTGATATTCTGGTACTGCTACTCACTCTAGCTTTGCCATCTTGGGGAAAATTATCAACACTTCTATGCCTCAATCAACGTTGTTATCTGCAAGGTTGGAAGAGTAACTACCAACCCCAAAGAAATAATTGAAAAAAAACAAAACACAACAAAAAACTGCGAACACAGAATACTGTGTTTATTTCATAGCAACTGCAGAAAAACAGACAATATTATGTAGTTTGAACGTATCCTTGTTAAGTGTGATTGTTACCGCTAAAGGATACTCCTGTGGCACTGTAGGATAAGTACTGGACTGCTAACTGGAAGGTGGGCAGTTCAAACCTAACTCCTTGGAAACGCTATACAGGGTCTCTATGAGTCAGAACTGACTTGAAGACACTTAACAACATATTATTTGAAATGAAATAAAGTAGATGAGAAACTATTTAGCTAGTAACCAAGGAGTCCCTTCTTCTTGTAAATTACAATGACTGGGTCTCCATGTTGGATATGTCAGTGACATCTCCAGGTATCAAATTAAAGCAATACTCTCCTTCCTAAGAAGAGGTCAGAAAATAAAAAAGAGAATAGAAGCAAATACTGTTGAATGATGTTGCATGGAGGGGACTGTAATCATTGCAACGAAACGAAATACTATAGGATGTATGCAAAACCGATGTTCTTCCCTGTAAACTATCACTCAATTCACAATAAAAGCTATAAAAGAAAAGAGGTAAAAAGAGTTCTCAGTTAGTCCAGCTTCTTCGGTTCACAGAAGCTCACTGCGAAAGGGGGACTTTTAGGAGAATGACAGTTGTCTTAAAAACAGCAATCAGTTCTAGGCAGTTTTAAGTCTTACTTCCAAAATACAGAATAGCAAACGAAGGCACAGAGATGCTATGTAACTCGCCCAGTGTTTCACTGTATAAGGCTTCTAGCAACTCTGGCTCAAGAGCAAGGGAGACGTGCAAGGAACCCAGAGACCCTCCACCCAGGCATTGCACAGCCAGGGTCCAACCCAACAAGGGACCTGTCCAAAGGCGAAGAAGCTCCGCCCATGGGAAGGAAAGTCACCATCCTCGCCCCCAAACCTCCACTCTCAGCTGTCCCTTCGCTTTCTCCTCAGACTTTAAGTTGAATACCTGTTGAACCCCAGCAAAGCTAGGAGAAACTCAAATAGGTCGTGAGAAACTGACCTGAATAACCAGAACCAAGGGAAATATGGCTACTATATCGACTTCCTGGAGCGGAAGTGCCCTCTACGATCTTGAGCGCCTGGACTACACTTCCCAGAGTTCCTAGCCTAGTCTAGCTAGGGCGGAAGTGCTTGTGTCTACACGAAATTCCTAGACCTACGCGTTCAAGAATGCCCCTGAAGAAAACATTTACTGTATGTAGCTGAGTATACGAGACGACACGGAACTCTAGATTACAAATTACATCATACCGAGAAGCGGAAACAGCAGTAGTGCTACCTTCTCGGACTACACCTCCCGGACTGGCCAAACGAAATCGCGAAGTGCCCAATGCTCAAAGGCCTCATTGCGCAAGTGCCCAACTACACTGAGCTCTAGGTTTCTTTTCCAAAATGCCTGAGAAGTTCTAGAATTAAGGTCTTGCCATGTAAATCGAAATCAGCTCACCGGCAATTGTTTCTTTTCTTATTTTTTTATTTTGGTATGCCGTAGATCTATCGCTTTAGTAGCATGTAGATTTTATTAGTTGAAAAATGGGGAAGTTTAGCACCATCTTAGACACATTCAAGTGATTAACAAAAAGACCGGAGCCTGTCATGAATGTTTCCTGAGGTTAAAAAATAATCAAAACTCACTAAAGTTGAAACATGAGGTTTCTTCTAAGAAGTTAGTCTACATGCACACAAGAGTTAAGTAAGTAAGAATTAATACAGGCACAGCTTTGTTTCAACTGAATGTGTTTAAATACGTCTCTGCAATCAGTGAATGGCTGCAGACAAGTTCTCAATGCAGTGAAGTTCCAGAGGATGTGCTGGGCCCGTTAATCAGTTCTGAAGATTACGGTGACTGTTTTTGTTTTTGTTGTTTTGCACTCCTAAAGGATAATCTTGATAGATTTTCTTGATGTACATAGGACAATGACACGGTCTTATAAAGAATTAATAAAATTCAAAACTGCATTGCTGAGAAATAGACAAGGAAATTTGCACCAAGGGCTTTTTGCTCCCATTACAACAATGCACTTGCTTATCTTCAAGGGTAGCAGGGGCTGTCCTGTGAGGATTTGTTTGGGAAAGCTTACTCCATTTATCCTACAGCCCTGTTCTTGCCCCTTCACTTTTTTTTTGTTCCCTAAACAAAAAAAAAAAAAAAACATTTCAAAGGAACATGATTTGAGACTCTCAAGAATGTCCAAATGGCTAAGTCTGGGCAGCCGAAGAGTGTGGTTAGCAAGATGAACTAAGATGCGCAGAAGAGATCGTCCATGAACCAAAAGTCAATAGAAACTGGAGAAAGAGAATGCCTCAAAGACTTGCTGAGAGCTAAATTAATTGAATGTGGCTGGAAGGATCAATTGAAAGCACACTATGAAGAGGTAATTAAAGAAAAAGGACTAGAACACGTTACTGTTGATGACTTGGTGTCTGAAATCACTCCAAAAGGCAGAGCCCTGGTACCTGACAGCTTAAAGAAGGAGCTCCTACAAAGAATAAGAACATTCCTTGCTCAGCATGCCAGTCTTTGAGATTGCATTAGATCATGTTGTTCTGTGGTTTTATTTCTGAAAGTGAAACTTGCCATAAATTAGAAATCCGTTTCCCAAAATAAAATCCTTTTATATAAAAAAAAAGAATGTCCAAATGGTCATTTTGATGTGATAGAAGTGGAATAGTGAATAATTTTGCAGAGATGTATTAGCAAGATGAAAACATTGCCTTCAGAAATATCTAGGCCCAGATGGACAGTATGTTAAAAAAAAAAAA